ACACGTTTTCACCATTTCCCCCTTGACACACACACACATACATACATGTTTTCACCATTTCCCCCTCAACCCCTCAACACACACACACACACACACGTTTTCATCATTTCGGGTTCTGGGTGTGTTACCTTTCCATTTCTTCATGTGAGTACACACACACACACACACACACACACACACGTTTTCACCATTTCCCCCTCGACACACACACACATACACGTTTTCATCATTTCAGGTTCTGGGTGTGTTACCTTTCCATTTCTTCATGTGAGTACACACACACACACACACACACACATGTATGTTTTCACCATTTCGGGTTCTGGATATGTTACCTTCCCATTTCTTCATGTGAATACACACACGCATTTTCACCATTGCCCCCTCATCACACACACACACACACGTTTTCACCGTGTCCCCCTCGCCAGCTCACCAGCTCACCTCTCAGACCACTGAGATCTGAGTCCCGGGCGTGATTCCTGCCTTCCTTCCAGACAGCAGCGAGATGAGGAGACGCCTGAGGACTTCTTCTACTTCATTGACTTCCAGAGACACAACGCTGAGATCGCAGCTTTCCACCTGGACAGGTAGGGCACAGCTGGCTCCTGGCCAATCCCGGGGAGAGGGGGGCATCAGGCAGACCCTCGGTGGGTCCTCTCTGGCATTTCTTCCTTGGGGCTCTTCATCTTCTTGCTTTGTGATGCCTTCAGCCCAGCATGTCCTGTCCAGCCCTGTGGATGGAGAAACAGTAAGGTGTTTATTGTCCTGGGAAGAATGACTTACAAGGACGCTACCTCTCCCGTCCTGCCCATCTTGCCAACTTGTGTACACTGTTGACCTGGGCTTCCATTTCTTTTTGTGAAAATGGGGATAATGTCCCTGTTCTCATTTATCCGAGGGGTCTAAAGAATATGCCTCTAAGAGGTGAAAGTACCTTTCTAAACTTCTAGCCCTTCTGTCTGCCTGGCTGCTGCTTCTCAAGGTGCAATCCCTGGACCACAGGAGGGAGGTCCTTCTCCCGAAACTAGTCCTTCCTCAGAACCTGTCCAGAGTACGAGCGTCCAGAGTACTCTCACCATTTCTACCCTAAGGAGAATTCTAGATGGGCTTCTTCCAAGGCAGATCCCTTTGTTCCTTGGCATATTCAATATCCTTCACCCGAAACATAACTCAAAGGCATCAGTTTTGGGTCTTCCTGATTCATTGTCCAACTTTCAAACACACATAAAGAGATTGTAAACACTGTGGCTTAATGCTCAAAGTGAATTTTTAACACTTTTTTTAAATTTTATTATTTTTGCGTGCATGTACCGTCAAATCAGATCTGACTGGTACAGGAGGAGATTGCCCCTCCTTCCCCAGCAGAGCACCTGGTGGATTCGAACCGTGCGCCTCTGGGATTGTAGTTGCAGCTCCTTGCCACTAGGCCACCAGAGCTCCCCCGAATTTTTAACACTCTAAAGAGCCCTTGTGAACCCAGGAGAGTACAGCTTTGACTAACATTTCCCATGTTCAGAAGGATTAGCCTGCCAGCTGGGACAGTTCGGGTGGTGGGAAGGTTTGCCCCTTAAGGCTTCACAGAATTTCTATCCCCTTCTCTTGTCCCTTAAGATCTGGGATTGTCCTGGCCACTCTGAGCTCAACCCTGCAGAGACCCTCCCCTGCCCGGCAGCCAGCTGCTGGGTCCAGTCAGCAATAGCCATCAACAGAGAACGTGCAGTGACCCGGGGCCAGGACCTCTCCCTCTCGCTCCCTGACCATCCCTCAGATCTGAACATGGTTCCTTCTGTTCCAGGATCCTGGACTTCCGACGGGTCCCACCGACTGTGGGGAAGCTAGTGAACGTCACCAAGGAGATCCTGGAGGTCACCAAGAACGAAATCCTGCAGAGTGTTTTCTTTGTCTCTCCAGGTAGAGCACTGGCCACAGCGATTATTCTGGGTCTAAGGCCATGGTAGCCAGTGTGCCCACCGTCACATTCAGCAGTGGCCTGGCCCCTGTCAGTGGGACACACAGTATGTGTGTGAGGGTCACATTAGGGGACGGGTGTGTGCCGTCATCATACACCCCCCCACCCAGTCAACTTGATGAGAAGACGAATTCTGAAAGAGAAACGGCCTTATGTGCAAGGCTAACTACCCTATGTTGGCATTGAACCTGCAACTTGGCCTCCCTGAAATTAGATGCTATGCATCCAAAGTAACAAAAACTATTTTAATCATACAGCTAGGACATAGGGAACTCTGGTGGCCTAATGGTAAAGAGCTGTACTGCCAACCCGAAGGCATGTGGTTCGAACCCACCAGCTGCTCTGCAAAAGAAGGATAGGTAGTCTACTCCCGGGTAATTTACTGCCTCTGAAAACCTGCTGGAGGGTCGCCGTGAGTTGGTTCTGCCTCGAAGGTACACACCAGCAACAGTTAGGACACAGTCAGGCTGTGTCCCCCACTTCCTCTTCTCTGGGACATTTGAAAATTGGCTCTGTGAATGTTACATTAGTAGAATTCACTCGGCCCCATATCTGGAAATAGTAATGGTTCTGTCCTTCTTCTCTTCCTCGACTTCCATGCTGGACATTCAAGTCTCCCCTTCCTCCTTAGGGATGACTTGCTTAGGGCAGGAGCATGAGGCCCTGCGAAGCCCCCTTCTTACCTCCTCTGTCTCCTCCCCCTCTCCTAGCGAGCAACGTGTGCTTCTTCGCCAAATGCCCGTACATGTGCAAGACGGAGTACGCTGTCTGCGGCAACCCTCACCTGCTGGAGGGCTCGCTCTCGGCCTTCCTGCCGTCCCTCAACCTGGCCCCCAGGCTGGCTGTGCCCAACCCCTGGATCCGGTCCTACGCGTTGGCAGGAAAAGAGGAGTGAGTCTTCCCTTGTTTACAAAGCCATGTGCTGGGCTTGACAACTACCACACACACACAAACACACACACCCAGTGTGGCCATGGCTGTCCTGAGGACCTGCAGCCAACCTGGCCTTGGGACCCCAGAAGCCTTCTCAGTCCTTCTTTGCCTTGAGTCACACCGATCATACTGGGACCAGTCGCTGGCCTATGTCTCTCCCCGCCTTCGTTTTTAAGACTTTACTATGTACTCGACGCTAGCTTCTCTGGGATGCAGAAGTACAGACAACCTCTACCTTCAGGAAGCTCCACGGTCTAGTGGGGCGGGAGGAGATTACCGCCTCGTAGAGTGATCACTGCTGTAACAGAGACACACGAGCAGCCCTTGGGAGGGACACCAGGCTCACCAGGCTCAGTGGGTCCCATGTGCATCTTGTTCATGGTGCCTCTGGCATTGACACATGTAGTAGGTGCTCAGTGAATAGTATCTGGCTGAATGAATCAGTCCATCACTCAGGACGGCTTAGGGTGGGAGAGAAGTGTTTAGAGGATTCCGGGAAAGCGTGACTATCCCAAGGGGCTTGTAAAAGTTAAAGAGTCAGCCAGGTGTGATGGGGGCCTTTAAGCAGAGGACCAGGTACAAGAGAGAAATGACACAGTGCCTTCTCAGCTGACAGTGAGGGGGTCCAGAAGCTTTAGTGAGAGCAGGTGCAGAGGAAGCAGGTGGTGTTGTCCGGCACCAGCTTTCTCCAGCCCACCTCATCCCACCTTTCTGGCGTGTGGTACCCAGCCAGCAACAGCCACACAGAGGGGTGCCTGGGAAATGGACGGGACCTGGAACCTTCTCACCACATGCAGTCTGCAGCCTCCTGAATGTCCCAGCTTCCACCTGAGAAGCCGCCCCCGGCCCAGGAGACGACTGGGAAAGGGAGGTGTTGGAAGGGCCCCCCTGGCTCTTCCAGCCCCAGGACGTCCTGTCGCCCTCAGGTGGGAGGTCAACCCGCTGTACTGTGACACGGTCAAACAGATCTACCCCTACAACAACAGCAACCGGCTCCTTAACATCATCGACATGGCCATCTTCGACTTCCTGATAGGTGGGTCCTGGGGCTTGGGGCACGTGGCGGTGAGGGGGCCGAGTTGGGACTGGCAGTGGCCAGCCAGGGTCCACCCAGGGTCCTGCGTGCTGTGGGATGCGGGCACTTCCCGCATGCTCTGCAGCTGTGAAGTCCACAAGGGCCACAGTTAGCAGAGGGCTACGTGTTGAAGGGTTGTCACCCTTGAGGCAGGCTCACAGCCCAGGGGCCTGAGGTAGGCAGGCAGCCAGTGTTCCCCTCACCACAGAGGAAGAGAGGACACAATACATGTCGCTGACCAGGAGAGGGCCGAGGGACGGGGACAGGCCCAAGAGATGAGGAATCCTGCCTTCAGGTGCCCACAGGGCGCGGCCCTGGATCCACGTTTTCTCTCCTTTACAGGAAATATGGATCGCCACCATTATGAGATGTTCACCAAATTTGGAGACGATGGTTTCCTGATTCATCTTGACAACGCCAGAGGGTAAGTCTGACTTCCTGTGCCCCCAAACCCTCTTTCGGGAAACCAGTGGCCTCTACAGGGAGGGCCTCCACTGTCCCAGTCCCTGCCTCCTTCCTGCCCTATTTCAGTTTCCTTTTTTCTTTTGATCTCTGTTAAGTACCTTATTATTATCCTCCAGCCAAAAGCACTAGCGTGCCCCTAGAGAAACAGACTGACGTTGTCTGTCATCTTCTGCTAGATGGTTCTTTCCCAGAGACAGAGAACATGGCATTACTCAGTGGCTGGCTTTACTCAGTGAATGAATGAACTAGCAAAGGAACTGCCTGCCTTTAACATCCTTAGAGAAGCCCTGATGTTACAGTGTTTAAGTGCTTGGCTGTGAATCAGAGGGTTGGAGGTTTCAGTCCACCAGCCTAATGCGGGAGATACGGCATCAGCTTCTGTAAAGACCGCAGCCTTGTAAACCCTAGAGGGACAGTCTTCAGTCCTTCAGAGTCTCCTCTGTCCAGTAGGAGCCCTCTGAGTTGGAGTCAACTCCACAGCAACAAGTTTTCGCATCTTTGGACAGAGTCTTTTATGATCAGATTTAGGAGAAGGTTAGTGTGTCAGCTGCCAGCGATCACTGGCGTTTTACCCAGAACTGTGATTGCTTTAAAAGGTTGAGGTAAAGAGGCATGAACATTAAGGACCTGAGAGCCTGGCTGGCTGCCCACGCGCACCTGTTTCCTCTCCTAGGTTTGGACGGCACTCCCACGATGAGGTCTCCATCCTCTCCCCCCTCTCCCAGTGCTGCATGTAAGTGTCCAGTTAAAGAGGCGTTAACAGTCAGGGGCGCCCGATCCTGGAAGGGTTTCCTCCGGTTTCCGTTGTCTGGGTGATGGATGGGATGAAGGCCCCCGTGACACGAATTACTTTGACGCTTTACTCCAGATACACAATCTCCCAAGCAGCATCTCTCTCGCAGACATTTTTTTATCTTTCAGCAACTGAATTGGAATCTAATCTTTTAAACCTTTCACTCACAGACTTTAATCTTGAGCCCACTCGGATAAGCAGAGCGTGGCAGGCTTTGATTACTAGTAATCAGACCCCAGCTTCACCCACCACTCAAAGCAGCTCCGAAGTACTATTTGATCACCATCTAAGCAAAATTCTGATTAAAGTCTCCGAAACTCCGATCAGATTGAAAGGAAACACTAAGGCCTTTACTTAGCTCCCATTTCTCTCTAGGGAACATCTAACCTACTTCCCTAAGTCACAGGGTTCCAGCCAGGCTTGTCAAATTGTCCACCTGCACCATCCAGAACTAATTATAAATTGGTGCTTCACACCCACCACAATGGCATTCCTTTCCAGCTGAAAATTCAGAACAGAACATGAATATTCTTAATCACCGTCTCAGGTTGATTTAAATGTGATTCCCTCCCTGAGCAGAATATGACAAACTAAGCTGTTTAACCATCTGAGTCTAAAGTCAGACTAACACATAAAAAGAGCTCAGCATCCTACAGTCAGGATTGGGCCTGTCCTACTTTGATCTCCCTGATACTGGACTCTGATATATGAGTATTACAAAGTTAGCAGGAAACAGCTTGGAGGCTGGTGGTATCCAGGACGTTGGAGATGCAGCTAGCCTCATTACTGCACCTAGAAGACACCGCTCAGTGTAATCTTTTGGCGGATTCAAAATGCTGCTTCTTTTTAATTTTTTTTTTTTTCAATTCCCTTAGCAGTGCCAGGGTAAAAGCACAGGGCCCCACCATGTGTGGTATTATGATTGCAATGGCTGGAGCACAAATGACGCCACAAAACTATCCCAGCTTGTACCAGTAGCTTGAAATTTGCCTCCAAATTCAGAGGACCTTGTGAGATGGATGAAAGAAAGAAGTGGGTAATTCCAGGGTGGTGACAAAGGAGTAAGTCAGGGAGACTTCAATTCAAGCAGATCCTAGGCAGTGGGGGAGCCGAGTCAATTTCCACGGCCCCCAGTGGGACGGAGAGGGGTCTCTGTGGTTATTGTGAACAAGGGTAGCTACACACAAGGACTTTGGACTGAGAAGGCCACCTCGGCAGAGGTGATGAGAATGATTTCACTTTAGAATGGAAGCGAGATCTTGGAAAGCAAGAGTCGCCATGTTCAGCCTCACAAAGCCTCTTTCACTCTCAGTCGGCCCAGTCAGTGTCCAGCTTTAAGGTGCACAGGAAGCAATGAAAAGGCCATGGCTTTAACCAGTAGCACCTTAGTCTTCAAACTGGCATCACTGCTTCTCAGCACCGTGGAGAGGTCCTTCACAGGTGACTCCCTAAGGCACCACATCTTTTGATTTCTTGACTATTGTTGCCAAGGGTATTGATTTATGTAGACAGAAGTAAGACGAAACCTTGAACATCTTCAAACTTCTCTCCATCTATCCTGTTACCTACTGGCCTAGTGGTGAGGATATTTGGTGTTTTGGAGGTTTTTTAAATTTATTTTAATGAAAGTTTACAGAGACTTTGGATTTCCATTCATTCATTGTTGCCCTTTTCTCTCTGTCCCCTCCCCCGCCCAATTCGTGTTTCTCTTTGAAAAGTAAAAGTTATTTCATTGTTATTCAGTCCCTCCCCCCAAAGTCCACTCCACTATGCAGCCTTTGTTCTGGACTCCTGTCATAACAGTATCTAATTATAGATCCCTTTTAAACAGTTCTCTCCATCATCTGTTTCAACACAGTATACATTATTTATCCCCTCTTTCTCAGTCTTCCCCCAGACCTGATGTCAGTCCTCTTTTCTAACATTGGCATTATGCTGTATTTGTCCTTTTGTGACTGAGATATTTCACTCAGCATGTGTTCCAGGGTCACCCGTTGGTAGGTTCCATTGAGTCGAGTATGACTCACAGCAACCCTGTGACCAGTAGGCGTGAACCTTGTCCTGTCCTGTGCAGTCCTCACCCTCTGACCCACTTGAGCCCATTGCCAGACTCTGTAGCAATCCACCTGGTTGGGGGTCATCCTCTCTTTCGCGGACTTTCCCTTGGATTGCCGAGGCTGTAAATCTTAATTAATGTGTAGGCATTGCTCATCTTTCTCCCAAGGAGCCACTGGTGGATTTGAACCGCCAGAGATGTGAAACCCTTTGGTTAGCGGTGCAGCATCTTGCATACTATACCACGAGAGCTCCTCAGCTCCGAACTTTGTTGTTGTGTACCGTCAAGTCGGAACCGACCCATAGCTCACCCTCAAAGGAAGTCATCGCATGGGAAGAGACTGCCCATCCTTCTCCCAAGCACTGTGCTTGTTGTTGTTGTTATGTGCCGTCTAGTCACTTGCGACTCATAGTGACCCTATGTACAACAGCCCTAAACTCTGCTTTGTCCTGTGCATCTCCGATACACCCATCCTGATTACCCCAGTCACTGAATCAATCCACCTCATAGAGGGTCTTCCCCTCCTGCACTGTCCCTCCACCCTCCCAAGCATGAAGTCCCTCTCCAAGGACTGGTCCCTCCTTATATGTCCAAAGTATGTTAAATGGAACCTCAGAATCCTGAGGTTTGACCCTTTCCAGGATGAATCTGTTTTCCTAGCAGTCCTCAATACTCTTCTCCAGCACCAAGCTCAAAGGCATCAATTCTCCTTCTATTCTCCTTAGTCATCGTCCAACTCTCTGATGCGTAACAAGTGATGGCAAAGACCGTGGCCTGTATCAGATGCACCTTAGTCTCCAGAGACACACCAGTGCTCTTCAGTACTTTAGAGAGGTCCCTAACAGCAGACTTTCCCATGGCAATGCGCCTTTTAATTTCCTGACTACTGGTGCCGAGACTGGTGGAGCCAAGCAAGCACTGTGCTTAGTGGGCATAAATACCCTCCAGTAGCCCAGCTGACGTCACAGAGGCCTGTTGTTGCATCCTGAGAATGGAGAACTTATCAACTGTAAATACAGCAAAGTGCAGGCCTTGCCTCACCAATCCACCTCTAGTAATTTTTCAACTTCCTCATCCTCTGTACCTTTTGAGGGTTCACGGTCCAGTCTCAGAATTGTCTAGACCAGCCTGTAACTGAAAAATCTCTTTGAGCTGTAAACATAGCCTCACTGTAATGTGACCAACACACAGTAGTAGAGCAAGGAAATCTGCTGGGTCCCTAGCAACCCAGGTCAGTACTAACAATTTCCAACAGTGATGTCGTGTCCAGGACTGGTGATGGTTGTCGTTTGTGTCCAGGACCAGAGGTGGTGGTCGTGTGTGTCCACGACCGGAGGTGGTGGTCATGTCCAGGACGAGAGATGTTCTGGTTGGGATGGGGTAGGATGGGGGAAAGCACCTCGTTAAGGTCTCTGAAGTCTGCAGCCACAGTCCAGGAGCCGTCTGGTTTCCTCACAGGGCTGCAGAGGGCTAATAAAGCACCTGAGCTTCCTGGACAATTCCTCCCCTATCGATTCTAGAAGCACTTGGCTTCGCTGGCTTACGTCCCTGGCAGCTTTCACTGCCCTTATCACAGCTGGCACTGTCCCCGAGATGTAGTGTAAATCCATCCTTCGGGGTATTACCCCGAACATGCATTCTGGTATTGAGGACTTGATGTGGTTTAGGAGTGTGCTGGCTCAGAGAGGCCCTATCAACAGCAGTCGTGAACGCTGCCCGATCTCTGCTAGGCTTGTGACCACTGTTAAAGCCTCTTCCTCTGACCTCCCGCAGCATGATGTCTTTTCCCAAGGTCAGGTCCGTCCTGACAACATGCTTGAAGTGAGACTCCTTGCCTCAAAGGAGCACCCAGGATGCCCTTCCGCCAAGACGAGTTTTTCGTTCTTTTGACTGTGCATGGGATAGCAGGTCCTCTTCCCCACCACAGCTTCAAGGGTCCTGACATGTAGCGGGTCGTCAGAGGCACTGACAACCCCTGATTTTTAAGGTCAGGATTGTTCACAGATGCCTTTTCTACCATCCCTGCCATTTTTGCAAGGGGGGATCCTTGAAACTGCTCACTTTCCAAAGGGAAAGGTGCATTCTGCTCCTGTATCAAAGCTAGGTAGTACCTGTGCTGCTTTGCCCTCAATGTCCTATGACCTCGACTTGGGGCACCAGTCCCCCATAAGGTCCTAGCCTTCAGGTTACTTCAGCCCCATTTCTAGTCCTACAGAGTGATGGGGTCCACCCCTTTCTCTTGTGAAGGTAGGCAGTGCCCCCCCCCCCGAGGACAGTACTGTTGCTCTGACTTCAGATTCTTCTCAAAGTTCGCCCCAAAGTATAGTCACATCTTTTCTGCTGTTGTCAGCAACCACCAAATCCGCCCACTTCTGGTTACTTTCAGTAGACCCTTGGGCGACCATCCTCGTTCTCAGTCCCTCCCCATGGCTCATACCATTTTTATAGCCCTTAGTCTCACCACAATCCGCTGTGATGGTCCCACCTGCCAGACCATCAAGCCCACGAGGATATGTCTGTGACCACCAGCAGGCTGGCACACCGGAGAGCAAGGTCATGTAAAGATCCTTGCTTTCGTTTCTGCCATAAATAATTCAATGCCCGAGCCTGTCATGGCTGGCATTGAGCACCTTTTTTACGGCCTTTGGTTGCCAACTCGGTGCTGCCCATGTGAAGGTAGTGAAAGGGGGAAGAAAAGGGACAGTGCATGAGGAGGAGACTGCTTCCTCTCCCGCCTGAGGTGCCGGCTCAGGCACTTCCTTCTGGCACTCATCTCCCTCCCCTCAAAACCTAGAAATGGAGGGTCTGGGGCAGCAACAGCAGCTTCTGGACACAGACAGGCAGGTGGGCCTCTGGAATCCCTCAAATCCTGCACCCTCGCTCACTGTTCTCCAAGCCACCCCCTTCCTCGCCCTGTTTTTGCAGACTGACAGGCAAGCATCTCTGGCTACTCATTCCCCTCAGAGGTGGTTTGCAGAACATCAGTGGTGGCCGCACTCACCTTCTGCACACCCCTTTCCAAATGCAGCTCCTTCCCCAATGCTCTTATGTCTACTTCGGGGACCAAAGGGCCCAGAGCAGCAGTGGCCCCACTGCTGTCACCACTCCCCTGTCCTCCTTGTCCACATACTTTCCCCCAGTGGTGTGTTCTCAGGACATCACCACCCTCACATGGTGACCTACACGCACGCATCTAGTGCACAGGCAAATCTCCATCCGTGGTGATTGCTGGCCAGGCTGCAGCTTCCCTGACCAGGAGTCTCACTGCTGTTTCCTCCGTATCCCGGCTGGACTGCTAGTTGTGTCTTTATGGAGCAGGACCTCAAAATGTGCCTCCAAATGTGCAGGCCCCTGTCTGTCTGAGGACACGAGCAATGGCAGGATGCGCACGTGTTTGTTTCAGACATCAGGTGAATTATGTCCCACGGAGGACAGTGGGACCCTGCACTGGGTTTTCAGAGGCAGTAAATTACACAGCAGAGCACCCATCCTTCTCCCACAGAGCAGCTCGTGGATTCAAACCATGTGCCTTTGGGCTGGTGGTGCAACTCTTTGTATCACGAAGCCAGCAGAGCTCCCCCGGAGGGGTAGAGAGCTCCATCAGGAAGTGTCTGACAATAACCAGCAGACCAGACACTGACCAGGTTAAATGGACAAGCTAGGGCCTGGGGGAGGCAGGGGGAGGCCACCCCAGCAGGGGTTACAGAAACAGGATTTAATAGAGGTGAGTTGGCAGGAGGGAGAGGGTGGCCATGACTTCGGCTGTGCTACATCTGCGTTCCCTTTAAGATCCGGGTCCAAAAGTGGGCCAGTGGCTAAAAAACAATGAGCATATCTCATCCTTGTGTTTAAATGTGGTTGAGAAGACACTGGGGAAGATTCTCGGAACTTGAGTTACAGCCACCATCTGTGGGAAAAGCAGCCACTTTGGGCCAGTTTTTCTGTGCGGGTTTTTTCGCATTTGCTTACTGGGTCTTTGTGACTTTGTCCTTTCAGGATAAAAAAGAAAACGCTCTTGCACTTGCAGCTGCTGTCTCAGCCCAAGTACCAGCTCAGCGACGTGATGCGGGAGTCCCTGCTGGATGACCAGCTCAGCCCGGTCCTGACAGAGCCCCACCTCCTGGCCCTGGACCGGAGACTCCACATCATCCTCCAGACAGTACAGGAGTGCGCTGAGGCCCACGGGGAGGAGAACGTCGTCCTCGGCGGCCCAGATCCTGGCCAGGCTCAGTGGACAAGCTAGGCACTGGACTGTCCAACAAGAGGACACACACTTGAGGCCAGCAGTGGACTCCCAGTGCCGACCACTCCTACTTCAACCTGTGGATCCTGGTGGCAGGAAGTCAGGAGCTCAGGAAGGACAGGCATCAGGCCTCTTCTAAAAAACCACAAGACAAGTGACATCTACTGAATTTGACCTTCATTCCTTGGTGTGTGGCTCCTAGGGTGCGGCCTTGGCTCCCTCTCCCAGAGAGCACACTTCGAGCTCACAGACTACTCCTCTGCCGTGGGAATGTGGAGACAGCTCAGGCTTGGCACCACTGTTCCCAGGAGAGTTTTAACTGTAACAGATGGAATAAAGGACAGCGCGTGGATAGTGAACCATCCTTCAGATCCTTCCAGTAAAAGGGTAATTCCTGGCCCACTTACATCTTCTGGTGCACAAGCAGGATAAATAATTACAAAAGAGACCTCACACATGCTAGGATTCTAGTCCTAGCGGCTCAACCCAAATACAGTAACCCAAGTGATCGGTCTGAAGAGTAACTTCTCATACCTACCCATTTATCTGACAAGAGACTAGTTTCCACAGGCCACAGAATTTAAAATTTTTACTTTACAAATTCAATGAGCTCTGGTGGTAAGGAGCTGTGCTGCCACTTTAAAGGCACATGGATTGAATCTATCAGCTTCTCTGCAAAAGATGGGCAGTTCCTTCCCATGCGATTTATAAAACCCACTGGAGGGTCAGCCAGGAGTCAGTTCTGAATCGATAGCACAAAACAATTTTTTTTAACTTTTTTTTTTCCTTTTTCTGTGAGGAGCTTCTTGGATTCGAACTGAGCACTTTCGGGATTGCAGCACAGCCTTTTGCCACTAGGCCACCAGAGCTCCAAAACCAATTTTTTTTTATGAAGAAAAAAAATAAGGATTTACTCAGAATATTACCCAAAAAGATTTTTTCATTTGAAGTGTTTTAAGTATATTAGGTGGGATCTGACAAGCTCATGTTAATAAAAAATGTCAAGTGGCAAAAAAATAAGCCATCTATAGCAACTTAAGGCATTTCCAGGAAGATCAAATCAGAAGTCTGGAAGGTGAGGTCAGCCAGTGCTGTGATTTGGCAGAAGACCCAGCACTGAGACGCGAGTAGAGCAGGAGCCCCACAGAACCCCCACCACTGTCCTCCTCTCATTCACCAGAGTAACCAGAACTGGTTTCGCTCTGCCCTGGCACATGGGGGTCTCTGAAGATACGTGGCATATGCCAAGAGGTGCCTCCCTCAGAAAGGACTAAACCAAGTTTCATCTCTAAGTCCACCAGTGTATTACATCTCTTCCCTGATGACTTGTTGGCATTTGTAATTATTTTAATGAGGGGGGGTTGGTGCTGCTTCATACTCCATAATTAAAGACTGAAAACATCAACGACAGGTTCATATTCATGCTCCAGCTTCTCTTCTAATAAAGGACAGAAGTTCAAACACCAGAAGCATGAAGGAAAGAGAGGGCACTAAACAGGGTACAAAAGTGTGCAATGAGAAATGCCATCCAGGACTCAAACAATGTGTCCACAGTCCTCTTAGGTTAAGTAACAGGAACTCAGCAACCCGCCTCTCTGGCCCGCCCGCTCTGCACCCACCCTGCCTCACTGGCCCGCTGCCCCTGAACTCTGTCTCCAAGACGGTGGGTTCTTTTTTGGTACAGGTGTGTTCTATGAATTACAGACTCAACACACAGGTCCTCACTCTTCACAAACATGCAGACAGAAATCCCCTCTGAGGTACAAAATCCCAAAGATATTAACGTCACATAATTTAGGGATTAAGTCTATTCTTTCTCTATAATGCAGGCACTCAATCTTTGATCTGACTTAGGAAATTATAGGTTGCTTTAAAAGTTTTAAAACAGCCGCCAAAAAATAAACAAAAAACCTAGTCCGCCCCCCTTTAATAGACAAATATTAATGCCGCAGAATTCCTTAAGTAAATTCCACAAAGAGCTTTCTAATCAGCAGTTCTCCTGGAGAGGAGTCTGGAAAGAACATATAGGACAGATAAAAGCCAAACAATCCAAGGTAAAGCCTGCAAAAGCTGGTGTACAAGTCCATTCTGTCTGCGCTGTCCATTTCTAGAACTTTCAGGTGAGCTGCAGCTTATCTGAAACACAACCACCTGTCTAGAAATGCTGGTTTTCAGATACCTCAAGAAAGACATGATTAATTCAGAGCAGAAATGAAAAATTACAGTGCCATCTGAAAAAACGAGGGATGAACTAGTACCTTCTCCCTCTCTCCTCAAACCAATTTAGATGAGTTAACATTTACATTTCAATTTGACCACAACATGCACAAAATGTAAATTATCCACGTATTTTATTACACTGTAAAATTTTGTACTAACAAAACTGAGACTTTTCATTTGTAAAAAATACTAGAAAACAAGATTCCACCAGAATAGTGTTAATTAGGTTTGTGCAACAGCCTAAGAAACAAATGTTGTCTTGGATGATGTTAAAAAACTTAGCAGAGGCAACAATCTAGAAAAGAAAAGGAATTATACACAGTGTGAGTAGGTAGGTGGGAGGCTGAGTTTCTAAGAACTCACTCTAACCTTCCCCTAACTGGCAAGACAAGTTGCTACGAAGAGTGAAAGAGAAAACCAAACCGCAATCTTGCCTCGTGAGAGGCACAGAGATGATAAACATGATCTCCACCCAGTGGTGACTTCTAGAATCACACAACTCCTCTGAAGAGCTCCAGTGTCCAGTGGTGGTCACTAAACACACAGCTCTACCCAGGCTCTTCCCCCCACAGCCGCTCAGGCAGTTCCAAGTCCCGGCCGGCTCTCTGTGGATTTCGGAGGCTGGAAAGTGCACAGAAGACTGCCCCCCTCCCCCCTGGAGATCTGAATGGCCACAGGCGAGGGGTCGAGGTGACCAGCACAACTCCCCAGAGCCTCCACGTCCACACTCGAGGAGAGGTGGTTTTTAGGTTAAGTCACAGTTGTGAACTCAGGTAAGGACATTCTAGTTATGAATGCACAACATGCTATTTTCTGAACCAGAATTCCACAAAGGGGCAAGATCCAAGAGTTGCCACACCTCTGAGAAGACAGGCAGTCCCCCATCAGAGTAGCCTCGGAAAGCCAGTCAATTCCAGCAAGCTGGAGAGAGGGAGCGATGAACCTGAGTAAGGCGCATGAAACACAGCATATGGTAAAGAACTGATCTAGAGTACAGCACGTCTACCTCACCAGATAGGTATGCGCTGGTCAAGTCTCACTCCATTGTCTCAAAACTGAGTAAAAGCGTCAGACAGAAGGTTTCACAGATGGCAAATGGGCTCTCTAAATAAACCCTTTAACTTTTAAAAGTTTACTTACCACACATTTTTATTCTTCAGTAAGTCTAAGAAAGTTTCAAATCTTGTCTTATTTTTCCTTTCGTGACTCCATAAATAAATCTTCTATTTTAAATTACCCTTTAAACCAACCTTTTAGATCCAGCCTTTGATTAACAAGCTTCACTGGTTACCACTGAAATCATTACTCGTAAAATAATGACCACATAATTCACTTCGGCATTTTATTCCTACTCAGCAGAGCAGGAGAGTCTCCGAGCATGGAGGGCGTGGAGAAGACACAGGAGGAGGGAAGAAAAAACGGCTTACATTTTAAAATGTAAATTATTTAGTATTTTTTTTCTTTATTATTGACCTACCATTAAGACAATCTATAACAAAAAGATAGGTAATATTAGCACATACAGAATAGTCAAGACTGTTAGCCAGGAAACAATACAAAATGGTCCTTTGGCCATCTATACGTCCTAGAGCAACAGAGACCACAGAGACTCACTTACCACGTCCAGAATCAAGGACTTCGAGAGCCCTGAGCATCAGCTAAAACCAACTAGGCCAACTGTGATTTCGCACATACACGGAAGATTGCACAGAGATAAAGCTTCAAACGTAATCATTTTTAGATTGAGATTTATCTTAAAATTCTTTCAGTTAAAAACTACAAAAGAGAGTAAACAGAGCAAGCCAGACAAGGGTGAAAACTTAGAGAAAGCATGGTATCATAATATACACAAATGTGATTATATACATATATGAATCTGCAACTTTATGGCATTCTAAGTATCTCATTTAAGTACATTTTTGGCATTTAAACAAAAATCAGATCAAGCTTTAAGCTAGTAACATAATTTTTATTTTTAGTTGTTTAAATATAAAAAAGGCAGCTAAACACAAAGGTAAGTACAGATCAGACACCCTCATTCCACAGATTATTTTGGAAAATAAAAACATTTGTTAACAGGGTGGCTTTCCGTCTCACACTAAAACGTAAATAAAACATCTTTCCCAGACTTTATACTCCAAGCTCAGAAACAACTTAGGAAATACTCAAATCTATGAGTGTCTTACCATGACCATGTAAAATTACCTGGGAAAGGGAGGAGAGGGGATTAATAACCAGAGGCAGTTTCACACTGATGGAAAAATGCTTGCAGTCACTCCCAAATAAACCCCCTACACATTATATATAAATCACAATAAAAATAAAAGTGCCTACATTATGGAACTGTGAAATTTTGTTTAAAAAAATAACAAAAAATAAACTTGGGTATCATTGGTGCACATGGAAGAATACTACAACACACAAGGCTGGAAAATACTGAAACACAGTTAAGACTCAAAAGACAGGTTGTACTTTAAATAAAAAGACAGGTTTAGTAGGAAGTAAAGGCTGGAGAGGAAAGCAGACCTTCCATAGAATGGCCTCTCAGACCAACATTAAACAACAGAGACATGACATCTCATCTCAGCCCATCCCCAACCCCAACCCGCCATAAATCCGAACTGCTGCAGGAGGAGGAGGAAAAGGTGCAACTATTTCTTCCCTAAATCTCAGGCCCCAGAGAATGTAATGGGGGAAGTTCTGTCAATGAACTCTGTCCACCTGACATTTCTCCCTTTAGCATTTTTTCTGTGCTAACATTTGTTCCATCTGTTTCGACTCCCAGAAAGCCTAATCTCCTAGAATGAGTTTAATCAGAAAAGCAGGAGATCACACTGGAGCCAAGTAAAGTATGTGCATTAACCAAAAGCTCCAAGTTAACAGCCAGCAGTGGAGACCTCAAATCTTAGTATCAATTCAGCATCTGGTGAGCAATATTTGGCACTAGGCTGGATAAAAAAAAAATAAAATAAAAAATGTCTAATCAAAAATTGTGGGAGGAGGCAGATGTAGTTAAATCATAACCAAATCACAAGCTAAGGTGTGGATATATCCAGAGATATTTAAGAATGCGTGAGAACATACCATTAATGAGATATAAAGAAAGCCAAGTAAATTAACTTGGCAAACAGAAGTTCTGGTTAAAAAAGGGGGGGAGGGAAATCTGAACCAATCATATCCATCTAGTTATTTTTAAAACTGGGCATTTTTTTCCCTCCACCCTTATAGTTTAAGTACAAGCAGATGTCTTTCTACTATACTAAGATTCTTCTAAACCCATTTTCCCACTAATCCTTAAGAGCTTAATAAATCATTTATTCTAGAAAGAAATACAGCATATATGCCCACAGTCTAAAATATGCTTAAAACTGGAAAATTATGTCACTTTATAAAAAAAAAAAAGTCTTGCACTGTTACATCATCACGTGATGAGAGTTCATTGGTGCTGGGAGCCCCTCACCAACAAGCAGGGCCCCCACTGGCCAAGCTGAACACTAACACTGCACAAAGAGAAGCAGTGACAGCGACATCTCCACAGAACTCTCTATTTATTTAACTGTGTGCGAGCATTCACTTAATGCTCCAGATGAAAAATGGTGCAAGAAAAGCAAGTGTGAATATAAACAGACACGAAGCTGTGCTACCAGTGGCCACTTGGCGCCGCAACCAGGGAAAAGAAAGCCATCTGCAAGTGAAGCACGGGCCGGGGAGGAGAGAGGGAGGCACAGGAGGCAGGTCTCAGACAGACAGAGACACAAAACTGTTGTACTGCTGGATGTTCCGCTTGAGGATATCGGAGCACGGGCCCAGGACGCGCTCGAACCTCGGTCGGTCCAGCTTAACGCACTTCAAGGGGCCACGCGCGACCACCGTGGCGGCACGAGGACGATTCATCAGCAATGCGATCTCACCTGGAGGAGGAAGAGGAGGAGCTGAGCAGAGGCTGAGGGCTAGAGAAGCACCGCTCCACTTGTGACTAAGGGGGGACCACAAGGATCTCCTCTAGGGGGAACTTGGGAGGCACAAGACACTGGCACTCAAAAACAAAAGTGAGAGGAGACAAGGTATCAACTGAGGAAAGAGCAAAGTGTCACACTATGCCTCTGGAAAACAAGACAGACCATACCTAAAATATAATACTCAAAACAACAAAACTACGCAAGACCACAGGGTCTCCCAGGTGGTGGCAAACTGGATCATTTCCTGTGAGACAATCCACGTACCAAAGTAGTCAGAGGGGCCCAATCTTCCCACTTCAACAAACTCTTCGTTTTCTGACCGACGCTGTAGCACAGCAGCTGAACCCTGGAATTTATAAATCAACAAAAAACAAAATCAAAATACTTTCAAATTAGTGACATTTTATATACTTTTAAGTATTTTAGCTACCTGGGGACAGGAGATGACTCAATGGTTACTTCAAACCTTGGTTTCATGAGAGAGAAAAGATGACCAGCAAGTCTAGTCACTGCAAGAGCTTCGAGTCCCTGTACAGCAGTGCAGCCCTCCCAACACCTTGTCTTTCAGGAAGAGTCTTTTCTTCAAGCTAAGGCCTTGACAGGGAGCTACTCTGGCCTAGTGTTAAGAAGCTGCACTCCAATCCCAAAAGCACACAGTTCGAATCCATCAGCTGTCCTGTGGGAAAAGGATGGGCAATCTTTTCCTGTGTGATTTACTGCCTCTGAAAATACCCACAGTTGGACTGTCAGCCACGGGACAATGCCAACTTAACGGCACACAACAAGGCACTTAAAAGGGTTCAGACTCGGGAACATGAACTCCAGTCCCAGGCCAATTCAACTCACTGTAAGCATTTTCATATTGGGACTTCTTGTTTTGTCCATCGAGATAGATGGAGCCACAGCTGACCCCTGGTAAGTTTTCAGAGATAGTAAATCGCTCAGGAGACAACCGCCCATCCTTTTCCCACAGAGAAGCTAGTGGAATGGAACTGAGTACCTGTGCGCTGGCAGTGCACTTCCAGACCACTAAGCCACCAGAGCCCCCCTTACTCAAATATCCCTATACCCAATCTTCTGCATACTACATATGGCTGCTTCTGCCGGCCAACAGAGTTAAGACATCATGATGCAAAAGTATTTGCAATTTCAGATAAAAAAAGTCAGGTATTCTAAAAAACTGAAGCTATGTATCAGATTAACCCACATTTTCCTCCTGTGGCAAACCTTCCAAGTACCTCTGTGCATCCTTTACCTCTAAAATAATGAAGAACTCATCCCCTGGTTCTCCCTGCACCACAATTTTCTGCCCATCTTCAAACTGGACTGGCTCCAACGCATCAGCCACGGTCAGACGTTCCCACTTATCCAGAGATTCTGAAAGAATCCAAAGAATTTTTCTGCATTATTTTATGTCACTAAAAATATCCTAACAAAAGCAAAGGAAAAAGTGATTCAATGACAGCCACACTCATTCACTATTCCCAAGGGCCACAGATTACACATGTCACCTGTCTTTAATGACTGCTAGTCTCAGTGATAGTCTCATCACCGGCAGGTCACTCTAAGATCCTTACTTCCTTCAGTAGCCAAGGAAACGGTTCATTTATACCAACTGCACCCAGTTATAAAGGAGCAAAAAAAGTAGTTAAGTATTCCTAAACAATGATGTCATCAGTGAAAATCAAATCTGTAATTACTAGACCCAAATGTTTATCCACATAAACAAGTCCAGAGAAAGGACAATAATGGGGGGAGGCCAATTCACTTAACAAAACAAAAGAAGACTCTGAAAAACAGTCATTTCCCTCCCAAAAAAAGAGGTTCTTAGTATCTCCAGATTCATGTAATACATAAAATATCCCCAATTAACTAGCTTCATTTTACAAGTCAACAAACTGGAGGGAATTTTTTCAGAGTCTTAAGACACCCCATCTTCCCAGAGGTGCGGCAACTACTCTCTTCCTGCACCAGCAAACTCCTGATGGTGCATTACAAATAGGAGGCCTGAGGGAGCTCTGGTGGCCTAGTGGCAAGACGCTGCACTACAATCCCACAGGTACGCGGTTCAAATCCACCAGAGGCTCTGCTGGAGAAGGAGGGGGCAATCTCCTCCTGTACCAGTCAGATCTGATTTGACGGTACACCTAAAAAATAATACAATAAA